TTGCGACGGTTGCGTAATTCGCGATCCACTGTCAAATGATTCATGGTGATCGAGGTTTTTGTTTCCGGACTTTGGACATGCCCTTCAACATCGGACCTGTTTGTTCAACGTCGGACATCTTTCCCAACACCACTTGGCCCAAATTTTGTTCGCAAAGCTTTTCTCAACCGCTCTTCAAATCATGTCGTCCAGAAAGAGGGCAGCCCCTGCATCCAACACTGTAGAAGACACCCCAGATGAAGTTGCACCAGAGAATGAGGAGGAGCGCACCGTGAACGAGCATGTTTCAGCTTTACTTGGTATAACAGAGTTGATACGGCGAAACTCACCCACGTAGGAAACATGCCGGTGGCCCAAAACCGAGATCAAGTCACCAAACGCTTCAAGAGACGCTCTACCATGGACAAGCTTGGAGCCATGATCACTGCAGAGAACATTCAAGATACAAGGGCCTTCCAGGAGAAAACAAAGTACCTGGAGGTCGTTGCGAAGAAGACTCGACAGCGCCGTGAAACCGTTTGGACCTTTTGGACCAAGTATTGCAGCCAGGTCTATAACACCATCACTGAGGAGGAAGTGTACAACTTGAAGTCCACTGCAGGTGAGCGAACCTTTACTGATCCAGCTCACATGCATATTGGAACAGATGACCTGAAAACGTTTATCGGAATGTTTTTCCGCTCAACTGTGCCAAAGCGGATGTGGTTTCACGAGAAGAACCTTGACAACGCAAATGATGACGATGACAGTGACAATGAGATGGGTGGTGACCTGGTTTTTAATGCAGAAGGTGACGAAACAAACGTGAAAGAGTACTGCTTTCGTACATTGAAGCAGTTCCTAACTGATCTCTCCGGCCGCGTATGTTTCCCAACAGCATAACACTATGACTAACCTGTTTCAACGTCCTTAGATGGTATCCAAGTGTAAATGGCGGAATGAGCAGGAAGACCCCGTGAAGATGCACCTCCTGTTTCGACAGGCATTTGATGAACTCGAGAAATATCGCAAAATGAGCACCGAAATTACAAAGAAGCGGCAAGTATCCCTCCCGCTTGATTTGGCCAGCCATCGGCACGGCTTCACGATGGCTGTCAACATGCTAACTGGCGCGCAACGCGAAGGGAAAAGGGGGATCTCAAGCATTTTTGTTAGTATCATTTTCGAACATAATACTGACCAGCCAGCTTGCCCGATACCTTGCGGTTGCAAGTTTGCTCATGTCGACTGGACAGAGGCCGTCTTCAGTTATGTTGGCACAGGGATACAGCAGCAGGAGGAGCGATGTTGATCCCGATGAGTTCCTACGTCGTTTGGAAGCTGGAGAATTTGAGAACGTCGATGAAGCTCAGAAACAATACGACAAAGCCATCGGGGGTATGCAGAATAGCCAGGTTTCGCTTCAACTGGACAGCAAAAATGGGCTTGAAGTTAACCTCACAATAACCTTTGTGAAAGGTGCGGCGGCCTTTGTTATTGATTCTTACATCTTCAGGCCGAACAATGATTGAGGGTGATTTTGAGGCTAAATGGGCTATTCCGGCGTTTGACGATGAAATATTGACTCCAGGAATATTTGCTTTTGCATGGCAGGCTGTGAAAGGAGTTTTTCGCCATGATTGGCGAGACATCCTCAACTCAAATCACGCAAACAGCGGCAACTTTGAATACCGCCTCGACGCTAAGGAAAAGCCGTTCTTGCCAAAATTCACGTCAGGGTGGGTTCCCGCCTTTTCCTTCAACTTGCTTTCCGGGGACCTAATACTGCCTGGTTCAGCACCGAGATTGCAGACGAGCAAGAGGTTGCTGCTAGTACTCCAAATCGAATTCATAAAACCGTTTTTGCAGAGTGCGGCTATAACGTAGGTTTTATATACCAAAAAACTCCCGGTACTTATTCTCAAAAGGCTGGAAACATCACCATGAAGTCTTCCAGAAAGGCATTTGCGGAAGCCGCGAAAGCTGCCATGGGAAATGCGGCAGGTCGTGAACTTCTTCTTCACCAGCCAGGATCCTTCGTGATGGTGAGCGCCTTCTTTGATGAGGAATAATTAGCAGGAAAAACACTATGTATCAGCCAATTTTACCCATATCAACACCGCGGCCTTGTTGAGTGGGGATAAGGAGAACATCAAACAAAAGAAAGTCAATGTTCTTCAAACCACCCGCCTTCCACCGGGGCGACGGTCAAAAATCGACTCCGCCACATTTGCGAAAATTATGGATGCCGACGATGACGTTACTGAGCTGAAGAACCGCTTGCTGCAAGCTACATCGGAGCAAGAAAAAAAAAAGTTAACCCTCGAACTCAAAAATGCAGAAAGATCGCTGCGGGCGCAAGCAACGAGCAACTATAGGTCGGTTTTGCATAAGCCAGTTGCTGGTCGCCAACCGTTTGGCGACAGAACCAACAACAATGCGGGCCAATTGGCGGCCGAGAATGATCGTACCGGCCTCACCCTTGACAGCATGACACCCAAAGAAGCAGTGGACAAAGATCAACGTCAGTCTATGATGTTTTACCTTCTACCTCTAATCATCGTTCTGTAGTTTATCTTCCTCAAAAAATGCTTGACGCGGTGTTCAAGCACTTCAACATCAATCGTTACGACAATACGAGGATTTATCCTAAAGGGTTTGATCTAATTTGGTGAGTCTAGAATTAGAGGGGATTTGTTAATTAGTCAAGCGTGATTATATTCTTCGCTACTTACCGTGACGGCGTGGAAAACCCTTGCATCTATCCGAAATGCAAGATGGTAGTCAAGTCCAAAAAGGAGCTTTCTTCGCACATTGAAGTGATTCACACTCCGTCGAAATGTACCATATGCGGAAGGATGTACACAACGTCCAATGTTTGCGCCTGCTAATCACATTAGTCTTTCCAATCCCGGGAATCTTAAACGTCACAAGAAAGATGTTCACGGCATACATTGAATCGACAATAAACATTGCGATGGTGGTGTTATCACTGTCGTTGAAGGGAAGCCCGTGAGCTCTGTCTTCTTTCCCGCGCTGCATATATCTGCATATATGACCCGTAATTGCCGACAAGTGACTGGTAGAGTCTTGATGGTGGGCCGAGGATTTGCCAAATCGCATATCCGTTGATCGTAGTTATTCCTGTTGCCGGCTCCTGTACTAATGCCCGAGGCCAAGCCAGACGCACCACTCCTCATTACAAGCATTGACGCTCGTACAAGCACCATCCGGAAGACGTCGGCCTAGCTGGATCAGGCTCATCACCGCCAGCAACGCAAGCTGCAGGCGATGAGAAGCCCAATACTGGCCAAAAGTGGCGTTTGATGCCGTTGTCGCAAGCCGCTCCATCAAAGTCTTCCGGATCGGTCCGAAGTGGCGACAATTCTAAAGGCAACACCGCAAGCACCCGCATATGCCGACGTCCAACAGTTATTGTCCAACATCCTGTATGTATGCAACCGGTGGATAACTTTGACTGGTGTGAAGAGTGAAACCGAGCGAGAAGGAATGGCGACGTACTGTTCATGCTGCGCAGCGATGATGGCCTGAGATGGGTCGTGCGGCGATATGCTGTAGGCGGGGAGACTCAAGAAGCTGTAGTTAGCCTCATGTACGCCAATCAGCAGTATCAAGCAAGCAAACAACTTACTCTTTGCTCTCTACATCGATGTGGTGGCAGTGGGGTCATCCTCCGTGACGACATTCGTTTTCATTCAACGACGTCTCAGTCGGTGCTGGTCGGGTGGGAAATTGTCCGTCGATGACGAGGGATCTGGTGGTGGAGGCCGCAACGGTGGTGGAGAGCGGTGCGGCGCCGGGGATCGGGCGAAAGGCATTGTTCTTGGCGAAACCCATGTAGGTGTTGGCAGCGGTGCCGCTGCCTTGCACCAGGAACGTGTGGACGGCGCGGTAGGCCGTCGCCGGGTCGAGGACGGCAGCGCGTTCCGAGGCGGTCACAAAGATGCAGCCCGAGGGGAGGAGTGCGATAGTGCGGTAGAGGCTGGCGGGGAGAGTGTCCCAAACGAACTGGAGAAGAATCAGTGTCTTGAGGGGGCAGGATCTCCATAGTGCCGGTGTTCCTTATCGGGAGGAAGAAGGAGACGTCGAAGGTGGAGCCTGCGATGAAGCTGCGGAAATCGGGGAGTGCCATCATCGCGGGGTGCCATCGTTTGCTCTGTCGTTGCGGGTTAAATGGTTATGTTACGGAAAAAGGAAGGCCCATGAAAAGAACTTACGGCCATCTGGAGCCTGGGTTCGACGGTACATCACCACCGGCTCGCTCCCAAAGGATTCCGGTGCCCCCGAGCTCGCCATCGACCTGATGCTCATCATCCCATCCTGAATCCTTCCCAGCTAGCTAAACGCCTCATTCCCCCCAACTACCATCGGTCACAGCCGATGCTCTTGGCGGTGCGGTAGATGGAGGTGGTGAAGGTGTGGCTCGCGGCGACGGGTAAAGCAAGTAGCATGGAGATGGGGACATCGAGGGGCTCTGCGAATGTGGAGGGAATCTTGAGGCCCGTGGGTGGTGAGTCGGTGGAGCTGGTGCCGCCGTGACGAAGACTGGCACCACGACGAGGACGAAACGGCGGCGGTGGGGCGGGAGGCGATCGATGGGTCTTCCGTCGCGCGAGTTAGGTTTAGAGGCAACGATAGTGTGGCGGCTCCGGCGGCGTCCGAGGCGGATGCGGCAGCTCAGTCCTTCTTGCGTGTCTGCATCCACGAGAAGGCGGATGATTTGGAGGGCACGGGGTTCGAAGTCAGACGGTCGCTGTTCCGGCAGGATCCACGTCAGGCGAGAGCATCACAGTTCGCGATAAGGTTGGTCCAAAAGACAAGCTCTCCCTTACCTTACCTTCCACGGACGATGTTGCCTTTGACATGTCAAACGACCTCTTTGAATTTTTTTCCCAGATCCAATCCAAAATTCATCAAAGCCACACTTCTGCTCAAAGACCAACACTTCATTCGATTTTTTCAAATACTATATATATTTTGCTTGCCGGAATGTCGAATATGACAACGTGGCCGAGTGGTTTTAAGGCGTTTGACTTGAACACGTGACCAACGTGAGGATATCAAATTCCCCAACGGGAGCGCAGGTTCAAATCCTGCCGTTGTCGCTTTTTTGCTCCGTTTCGGTCACCGATCGAGGTGCCTGGTGTCGTCCGTGAAAGTCTCGTCGTTGTTTCACGTTTCGAGCCGTTTTTTTGTGCGCGTAACTGGTTCGCATCTGGCCGCTACGTAAATTTTTTATTCGCGAAATATTTCCCACGTCCTTCAACTTATTATTCGCTTACGCTGGCTTTTTCCCTCTTCCGATGATGCACACGTCGCCAGTTTACGAGAACTGAAGAGAACGTCAACAGCAATAATGGCGGTCAAACATGCACGCGTTCCGCACGCCTAAAGTCAAACTCGACCGCTGAGATCAGCCGTATAGATCGGGACCGCGCTCATCATGGCTTGCAGGTTTGGGCCCAAAGGCTCGTTTTCCTTGTCTTCAGCGCAGATGTGCCCGTGAACGAAATTGGTTCACGCAGCAGCGCCACACTAGGATAAGTCATTGCGTCCAACCCACACGGGTTCACGGTCCATTGCCAGCCAGTCAGACGTGTGTCCCGGACAAGGAACTCCCGAAATCTCAAGCGGTCCTGCCCACCACGTGCCCGCATTCCCGCCGCGATGACAGCCTTTTGCGAACCGGACGGGACCGCCGCTGATCCAATCGGTCTTGGTCGTCGGTCGACTCGGTGGCTTGGCGTCTGGTCGATGTGGCCTCCCTTTTCGACTGCTTGTGATCGCTTGCGCGCATTCACGTCGCATCGACGTCAATGATTACAACTATGCAACCACGTGCACTGCGTCTGCCATAGACCTGCACGTGAGACGGGCAGGAACGCGGTCCGCATGAACCTGGCGCCTGGCGGAGCAAGGTGTCGAGATAGGCGTCGGGATGCTGTTCCTCCACTTCAGCAACTTTTCAGGCAGGCGTCACAACGGATGAAGGTTTCAGGAACGTTCAGATGCCTGGCGCTTGCCACTGCGTCCATTACTCCCGCCGTCTTTTCTTCCAACATGTCGCGGTTACGTCCACAGCATCCATATCCCTCTGACCTGCATCACACCACGAGCAAACTTTGCGGCGTCGGGAGTGTCCAGCGGCGCAACGGGCGGCACGGATCGCTGCTGGACACTCCCAACGCCGCAAAGTTTGTTCCAGATTCCCTCCCTCTATCAACCACTTTATTGAGAACACACTTCACCAGCAAGAAGAACACCAGTTGAGGAGGTAGGCCTTTCCTGCCTCTTGGCCGGGGATCTCTGATACGCCGAGCAGTTGTTATCCCCTGAATTTTTGTCAAGGGGCTTTCATCTGAGTCGCAAGACCGTCCTGGGTCGTCAGAGGAGGATGGTGGGTATGGCCCTCCATCGGGATCGCTGCCGCTTTCCTCAGCACGAAGCGTCGGAGGCTTTCTGGCCGTTTTCTTGATTTTGGCCAGCGTCGCCTGAATCGATGTCAACAAGCAGCTTCATTAAGGCCTACCAACCTGCCGGAGGCGGCCTCCGCGTCTCCACTCCTCCGGCTGTCACCAGGCCTGCAGGTACTTGAGCCTGAGGCCGAATGGTCAACTGCGGGTGGAACTGAATATTTCGTTACATGGGTTCAGAAAGGTAGTCACAAACCTCTTGTCTTCTCCGCCGATGTTCTGTTAATATAAGCCATCCGGAGGTCCACCAGCTTTTCCTGAGTTCTCAATAGCTGCTCCTTTTCTCGAATCAGGCCATGCTTCTCGATTTCCATTTCGGAAAGCAAGTGGCGCTCTAATTCGAAATCGTCTTTCAGTTTTTCAACTGACACCAGAGGTCGGTCGTCCAGCTGGGCTTCTTCCAACAATCGTCTTGCCTCTCGAACTACGATAATTTGGTCGGCAATTCGTCTTGTCTGTTCTCGTATATCAAGGTCAACAGCGACTAGTCGAGCCTCAACATTAGCGGCGTCGGCATCTATGGACTCCATCGGTGACGGATGACCTTTGTTGTGGTGATGCAAATGAACAAAATGATTTTAGAAGAACGTGCCGTCGAAACAAGGGGTCAACAGTCTAGAGACTTCAGCCACAAAAGCAACGCTCTTGAAGGCCTCTTGAACAGGACAAGGGGAGTGGCTCTTACCCAAGCGTAAGTGGTGCTGGTGGAAATGGAATCGAAGCTTGAGTTCGGAGCCAGGCAGTGTTGAGAGGGGGGCGTTTTCCCGTGCCTTTTATAGGCGCACGTAGCAGACGCAAGCCATCACCTTCCTTTCTTCCAACAGCGCCACCTTTCCGCCGCTTTTGGACCATTGTCCTGGCGTCTTGGAAGCAGACCAGTT